TGTTCCGACTTTGAAAAAAAATCTTAAAGAAAATAAGTGTAAAATAAACAAAAAATAACTAAAATACATTTTCAAAAGTATCAAAAATCGCAAAATCGAGAAAAATTTATAAAATAAACTTTAACAATAAAAGTAATCGCATTTAAATAAACTTTGATCACCACGAGGTTTTGTGATCATCCGTTGAAATTCAAGTCGTGCCACTGTCGAGGAAGCAAGATATCAATTTATTGTTTGTAATTTGAATATTTTATCATTTTCAAACAAAAACAAAAGGCAAAGCGTGTTTTATGCATTCTTTTTTGAATATAAAGATTTGTATTTGGTAAATAATTGTTTATTTTGCAATTACTGTTTATTTATTTTCGAATTATGCATTTTTGGTAAACAAACAAAAACATATGGTAAATGTATAGAGATAATGAAAAACAATAAAAAACACAAGTGTAAAGACAACACAAATATATTTATTACAACACCTTAAACTATTTTTTATAATAAAATAAATCAATATATTATTAATAATTTATCATATTATTTATAATAGTTTTATAATTATAATTGTTATATAATATAGTTACAATCAACAAACATAATTTTGACACAATAACACATCAACAATCATATCTTTACTCCAACGTGATTTCATCGAAGTGATAAGTGATCACATTGATATAACAATGTTGTGTAATTAAAACTATATTGTATTTTATGTATAATTATAACAAAAATGGTATAATCATCCCTTTTTATAATATTATCATTATAAAAGATACATAGTGTTTGTAATAAAGCGCGTTTTGACTGAAATACACAGTTTGAATTAAAACAAAACAAATAAGCATTTAATTTATATAAACAGAAACACACTGGTTTAATGAATGATCATTAAAATGATTACATGTGATATACTTGATCTTGTTGTTATATAGATAACAATTTAAATTATTTGAATGTTAGAATTGATAACAAACTATATTTCTAATATTATTTTACCAATAATAATATAGAGTCTATAATAATAATATAATAATAATAATAATATAATAATAATAAATTATTTTTTAAATGACAATAATAGTAAAATAATGTTATTTAAACACACCAAATAACAAAAATATTAAAATAATTTTTGTTTTAAAAGGGATAATTTTAAAGAATATATTAAATTAACAACAATCTGTTATTCCACGACAATGGATCAATAAGAAATAGGCAAACAATTGTCACTTATAATTTTTTTTAACAATTATAGTTAAAATAATAAATAATTTATAATGCATTGTTTATTCGATTGATTTTGTAACGAATTGTGTTTTGTGTTTTTAAATAAACGTTTTTGTTCGAAATTTAAAAAATAAATACAGTAAGGTTACCCCGTTTTGTTCAATTGTTTTAATAATGCAAGACATTTATAGTAATTTTTAAACAATGAATACTATTTTAACAAATTAAATACAAAGAACATTTTTGCGTTTTTATTTGGAGATTGCTAAACAATAAAATGGTTTAAATAAATTAAAAGTACTAATTAGATATTACATAAAACAACGTCACTTGCTACAAACAAAAAAGTTTGTGATAAAATAAAGAAAATACTTGATATAAATTTGAATAAACACCATAATTGAGTTGGTTATTTCAAGATTTGTGATGGATAGATTTATAGTTTCAAGTTGCACTATTTTAAACAACAATGTGCAAAACCAATTTATAATCAAAAATTATCATTTTTTATTTCAATATCCCGAAAAAACATTTGAAATTCTAATAAATATAGTAAATCAACATTAAATAAATGTATGAAATAACACACAAATTTCTTGTTATATTTGGAATAAAAATTCAAAAAAATAATTACTTATTACTATAAATAACTTTGCCGCCTCGCATTTGATTTGACGAAAAAATGCAAAAATCTGCCTCAACATCAGAACTCGAAAAATAAAACAAATTTTCAAACAGTGAAGTCATCACCATTGGCAACGAGAGATTCAGATGACCAAAAGCACTCTTCCCTCCATCCCAATCTATGAAAGTTTCTCACTTCCACACGCCATCCTCAGAATTGATCTTGCTGGTCGTGATCTTACTGACTACCTCATAAAGATCTTGACTGAGAGAGGTTATGCTTTCATTACAACTGCTGAAAGAAAAATTGTCAGAGACATCAAGGAGAAGCTCTGCCATGTCGCTCTTGACTTCAACGAATAAATACAAAAGGCTGCCTCATCATCAGAACTCGAGAAGTCACATTAACTTCCAGATGGTCAAGTCATCACCATTGGCAACGAGAGATTCAGATGCCCAGAAGCACTCTTTCAGCCATCATTCCTTGGTATGTAAGCATCAGGTATCCACGAGACAACTTACAACTCAATCATGAAGTGCGATGTCGACATCAGAAAGGACTTGTACGGAAACATCGTTTTGTCTGGTGGAAAATCAATCCAAAAATCAACGACAAACATGAGAAGGAGAAAGTTGCAAATGAAAAACGAATAAGCATAATCAAGGCTGTTCATGCTTGACTCAATTTAATTATATTCATATTGGTGTTAATTTGGTTTAGTTTTAATATTATTATAATTATTGTTATAATCAATCATAATATATAATAAATTTACTATCAGTTATATTATTCACAAGTTTATTTTTTATAGTTTATTTATAATTATAATTACTATACAAATTATTATTCTTTTGTCACGCATTGTATAATGTATCCAAAACTGCTATTTTTCTCGACTTAAATTGATGTTTTATAGCGTTGTTTTACCATATAAGATTATTATTTTAATGTTATTATTGTGTTAGATGAATAACAAACATAATTAATAGTAAGTAGTGGGTTTTATCGTAATATTTTGATGTTATTTGGTTCTCTAAGTATTTTTAGTTTGAGTGGAATCTTTTTTATATTTCAACAACAATATTTTTGTTATGTTGTTATTTTATTTTGGTTTGAACCAATCTTATTGGTTATATTGAACCCAAATTGTTGCACTTATTTTAAGTGTTTTTTATTTTGGTTTTTAAAAAACTTGAATATCTGATAATATTATATAATCAATTTTTATTAACATTTTTATTTGTTTATAAAAACAGTTTATTTTCGTATTATTTTTATTACTAATATTAATTTGTTAAATTATATATTTTATTGATTGAAGGACGAATCTTTAACAAAAATCAATTAATTTGAGTTTATGAATGATGAAATGTTTAATAAATAATTCAAAAGTTTGAATTTAAGTTGAACTATTTTATCAAATAAGTCAATAATCATTCTAAATTGTTCATGAAAAGTCGCCATTATTTTCATTTTTTTGGAAAAGTGAAATTATTTTTTGAAATTTTTTTCTGAAAAAAAAAGAAAAAATAAAAAATTTTTAGTCCTCGAAGGGTTAAAAAACAATATAAAATATATTTTTTTATTCTTTTTTTTGTTAAAAATGTAGAAAAATAACTAAATTAAAACTTTTATATTTCATTAATAGATTTATCATGATACTATGTGGTATTTTTAAAAAACGTTTTTGAAAAAATAAATTAATCACACATTAAATTGATCTATTCCTCAATATGTACTGATTGGTAACGTCACAATAATTGTTGCAAGTGATTTTACACAAATTCCTTTTAAATAATAAGTACGTTTGTATCTGAAAAATCAATAGCTTAGTTACTCCTTGTTCCAAATAATAAATTATTTGTCGATATATTGAATTTATTTTTGGAAACAAACAAAATGTGTGTTTTTATTGCACAAAAAACATAATTAATGAGTTTTTATATCTATCACATTAAAGACAATTAAAACTTAAATAACCTTAAATATCAATGAAATTAATCTAACCAAATAACACATTAAGTAAACAAAATAAACACTTTTCGATGAATATTTAAATATAAGTTGGTTAAAATTAATTTAATTATTCGTGTAGTACACCGTATGAACTTAAAAACAACTAAATATTGATTAATGTAAAGAAAATGTAATTTTTTATTTTTGTTGTTGTTTTTTTTATTTGTTATTTAAATAAATTATGTTGATAATTGAACGAAAATGGCTGTTGATATTGTTGTTGTAATAGATATCATTGAAATTGAACACTTGGTGATTGATAGGTATTAATTTGATAATATCTTTGTATTTGTTGTTGGTACATTTGTGTACAACCTTGTATCAATTGTTGATCAATACATTCATTTTGTTGTGCAATCGATTTTTCACAATTTTTACTGTATCCAAGTTTTCATTGTTTTTTGTCCATAATAACTAAAAATAAATAGGTTTTTATCTGAAATATTACAAAATCATTGTTTTAAGTTTTCAAAAACTAAGACTAATAAAAATTTTTATTATTAAATTTTAATTATTATTTTTTATAAATCGATTAAAATAAATAACGTTAGAGACAAAGACATGGTTTACAAGTAACTCTAAATTATAAATTAAATAATTAATTACCAAAAGGTGTTATTATTGTTTTGTTAAATGACAAATAAAAATATCTTTTAAAGATGAATCGATAACTGTATCAACACACATTTAAAACGAACAACTTTTGAATTTATGTGATATAATATATCACAATTTTAAATATTTTATAGATACCGTTATAAATCATGGTATTACAGTTTTTTTTATAAATAAACAATACATAATTTTTTGTATTATATTGTTATCAGTAATTACTAATTATTAATACAAAAACAAAAACATTTTTGTATTTAGTTATTTATAAAATTTTCGATTTTTTGAACATTTTAATTAAAATGTGTCTAACTATTTTGAAAGTTAAAAGCAAGGGTGTGTTTTATTATATCGATTGTAATATTCTTATAATACTGAGCATAAACAATTTAATTTAAAAATAAATAATAACAACAAGTTAATTAGTTTTTTATTAAAATTTTGGTCTATAATAATTAGATATATTTAAATTACGTTAAATTTGTTCTTTATATTAAAATGAACTTTTAAATTCATACTGATGTCACTTTTAACAAGTGAAAACATTCGGCGTGTTTCCCGTTACTTTCTCACAACACAAGACTATATAACACTTGAAATGGTCTGCAAGAAATTTCGCGGCAACACACTTCACTTTACAACGAACCCGATAGATTTAGATGACCACAACTATTTGCTTTTTACAAATATAGAATACATCAGAGGGTTTTCTTCTTCGATAAATTTTATAAAAAAGAATTGTTTTAAAGGCAATGATAAATTAAAAGAAGTTTATTTATCGAACAGCATAGTAAATATCCTTGACAATTCATTTCGTGACTGCGCCAATTTACACAAAATAGTTTTTTCAACGAACTTGACTTCCCTTGGTGGATTCTCTTTTGCCAACACAAAGTCACTAGAGAGTGTAGTTTTACCCGATTCACTCATAGAAATCGAAGGCAACTGTTTTCGCGATTGTACGAATCTCACAAGTGTGCGTCTCTCAACAACTTTGACACAATTAGGTCCTCGAGTCTTCCGGGGGTGTACTCGCCTGAATAAAATTGACCTTCCGACCTCTCTACTAAAAATAGGGAACGAGTGTTTTATGAATTGTGAGAGTCTTGAGTATGTGATTCTTCCAAAGACCATAATGACGATCCCTTACAAGTGCTTTTCAATGTGTGTCAGACTCCAATTTCTGTACATCCCAAAAGGGATCACGACGATCGGCGAAAACGCGTTTGAGAGATGCGAGAAAGTCAAAGTCGTCTTTGTCGAAGCCGAGAATGTCGAAATTATGCAAAAGGCGTTTTTGATGTGCGACGTCGTCAACTTTTTCTTCGAAGAACACAACGCAAACACCGCGGAAAAATTCAAAGAAATCGGTCGACCTCTTTGCTTTAATAATACCGAAAAAATGTTCGAAGTAAAAGACTTGTTGGAACACGCAAAACGCATTTCCGAAGGAATTGAAAAAGTCGAAATTTTTGAAAATTCTTCGATTTGGTCGAAACTCAAAAACGACAAAAGCGAAAATTTCGAAGAAAAAATTGTGAAGAAGAGAAGAGGACGAAAAAGAAAAGCAGACACCAAAACGGACGTCGAAAAGATAAAAGAAGGAGAGTCTTCCCCGTCTTATGAAAATTCGACGGAAACGAAAAGTGAAAAATCGAGAAAGTCGAAAATTGACAAAGTCGAAAATGTGAAAAAGTTGTCAGCAATTAGTTTGAATGAAACAACGCCTGAAACGGTTGATAAATTGCCGGGATTTTCAAATCTTGAAAGTTTGGCTTCTAAAAATGAAAAAATTGAAAAAGTCGAATTAACAAATGAAAAAGCGGAAGACAGCGGAATCAAAAAGAAGCGAAAAAGACGAACAAAAAAAGAAATGGAAATGGCTCGACTACAAACGCAACAAGAATGTGGAGAGAACCACAAAATTTTAATTCAACAACGCAAAAGTACTTTAAAAAGTAAAATTAATAAGTCTGAGGAGTGTGATGAGGATAAAACTTCATCTGTGAATATCGAATTTCGCGATGATAAAATTGAGAAAGTCGATTTATCAAAAAGTAAAATTGAAAAAGTCGAAAACTTCAAAAAGCGCCATCAAACAAAATCCACAAAGACTTCACACGTTATCAAAGTTGACGAGACGCCAATCAATCAGTCCAAAATTCCCAAAAAGAGTTTAGAGAAAATGCGAAAAACGCGATTGAAAGAAAACACCACAAAAAACACAACAGAAAAAGTCGAGTATTTTCCGCTGCCACACGAAAATCTCAATCCAAAATATGTGACTCAACACGTCGACCCTCCCGAACTAAGTCGTCAGAAGAAAATGAATAAATTACTCGATGAAATGCTCCAGAACGTCCAAAGAATTCAACAAACACAATTTCCACTGAATTGGTGCCAAAAATCGGGATGTTTGGGCGCAGAAGTCCAACCGAATTGCTTGGAGGCCCCGTCACGGGGTGTCGACATGGCAGTGGATACAACCGTCGATTACCAACAACAATACCGACAAGCACAATTCCAATATCGCCTCCAACAACAAATCGAAAGCTTTAAAACGATGTTTGCAAAGAAGACGACGACGGAAGAACAAACGAAACAAATTGTGATGGTCGCACAAAACACACAAAATCTGTCGGCCATCGACGCGCTGGATGAATCCAATCGGTTGAATGTGGTGAACAGTGAGAATGGAGTTAATGCAATCAAGGAAGCATCAGACCTCAAATGCAATTTCCCTCCAAACTCGGCAGAAAAGGCGTTTTCATATGAGTTGAAAAACGTCGATGTTCGCGGGATAGATGCATCAAAACAATTGCTACAAATGCAGTGTCAAGAAAATGGGCAGGTAAATATACAGAATACCCTCCCCAGCTTCAACTCGTGGCAGATGAAGTAAACTAATAAATAGAAGAGTGAGTAAAACGGTTATTTTTATTATTCTAAAATCAAATTTTATAAACTTGAGCTTTAAAAAGTATCATATTCATTGTTATTTCATTTGAGGTTTCAATGTTCTAAATATATCAGTTAATTATTTCAGTTCTCAACTTTCAAGATTTCCTGAATTTAAGTCAACTCGAATTTTGTTCAATATTATTTAAAAACGGAAACGTGTTAAATAACATTGAACAAAATTCAAATGGTCTAAAAATCGGGAAATCTAGCGTTTATTAAACAAATTTCCGTTTTTTAGAGTTTATATTATGTGTATAAACAATACACAAGCCAAAAAAGGAAAATCACTAAAAATTTGATTAATATCCCTGTAAAAACAGGCCTATTAATCAAAAAAAAGGGTGTTATTTTAAGTGTTAAAACCAACAATAGTTTTTATTGTTTTTTTGTGGTTTTACACGATTGTTTGAAATGACATTTGAATTAGAATTCGCCATTGGAGTTTGTATATAAAAGAAATGTTATTTATTTTGTTTTAAATTTTAAAAATTTTATTTAAAACAAAATATTTTTAAGTTTTTAAAAAATTCAATTATTAAATTTAAAAAAAATTCATTATTATAAACTGATTTCGTTTTCGATATATTTTTTGAAAGTTTCCCATCCACAGAAGTCGTTTCCATTAGCACACTTAAGTTTTAATACTTCTGAATTATATGAGAATCTCACAGAGAGTGTTTTGTCCTTTTCTTCGAAGAACTCGATAATAATGTAAGAAGCCAGTGGTATCCATTTATCAGTCTCATACCCCAAGAGTGCGAGGAACATATACAAAGTGATATCGTGTGATGAGTACTCGTGGAATATATAATCATTTTTTGGTGTTCCAAACATTGATTTTTGGACGTCGTAGAGGATATCCCCCACAAAGCCATTCGTGAACTTTGCTATAGTTGACTCCAGCCCAACAAGATAATGAAACCACAGTACACCAATTTTGTCCGAGAACGCCAAGTCTTCTTGATTTAACGCCTCCCCCTTTTCATTCACTTTTAAAGGACACTCGTTGCACATATACAAATTGAGTGTATCGCACATCGTTATAACCGCAGTGGAGTACTCTTTCTCCTCGTAACTCAATCCGTAGACTCTGCAATATCGTTGATACAAATCAACTATTTTGGGGTTCTGCAAAAACGCCACGTCACACTTTTTTCTGTTTTCTTCTAAATACCCGTCAAGCATTTTCGAACACCCCGGAAGCAAATTTTCTTCAGAATCTTTGCGAACTTCAAACGAGTCCGGCGTCATCGTTTCATCAAGAAATGTACTCAAAAAAGACCACGCAGACATGACTGCCCGCTCTATAAACGTCGAACGGACTTTCACTGTTTTAGGGTTTAAGTCGTTAAAATAGGGTTTGTAGTGGGATAAGTAAGTTCGAAAGACAGTACCTAAATACTGTAATTGACTCTTCCCACGGTCTGTCAACTCACCAGGAACATAGACATGACCATCAGAACTCTTGAGAGTAAGTCCACAATCTTGCACAGACATCCGGTCTCCATGGCGATGAAGCAATACAACATGTTTTAAAGTCTTTTCAGAGACGACTGGGAGCGAAAAGCGTGGAACATCTTTGTAAGGGCCTGGTGTGTGTGTAAGAAGAGTCATTGTTGGTTTTTATTAGTTTTTATCAGTTTGGGATTGCAAATGTGGTTTTTTAATTGATAATTAAAGAAATATATTGTGTAAATTTAACTAACAAATCATGTGATCATTTGAAAACAAAAGAATTTTTAAAGTTTTTTTATTATTTGTTTTGTGTAGTCGATTTATTGATTTGAGTTGTGTAATATTCATTATAGAGTTGGTGGAAAAAAGTTTGGCTCGATAAGAATAACTATATTTTATTATAAACAACCATTTATTATTAGTTTCTATTTTTATTACTATTTAATTTCATATAACTATCGAGCCGAACAAAGAATTCAATTAAGATATCGAGACGCCTCAATTTGGGCACGAATCCCGAAATTGTACATAATACTAATGTGAGTTACAACCATAATTATTTTCATTTGGTTAGACACGTTGACTTCACGTTGAGATTGACTCAATTTACGCATAGATTGAATAATTGGCAAGCCCCTTAAACAATCGCTGCGTTTTGTTAAAGAACTCAATGGTGTTTGAAAGTTCAAATTAGTTACAGTCAATCCATTGTTTCGAAATGCTGAGTTTTAGTTTTTGATTGTTAAATTGTGTTGCGTCGACTATATAAACAACCAAATGTTTTGTTTTATACTTTTAATTTTGCGTTTTATATGTTTGCTAAACCTTTATTTTTAATTCCAAAAACAAACGTTGAGTGATTGTTTTTGACTTTGTATTGTCTCGAC